TAGTCTTAGATGCATGATTTTTTTTATTAGTTGTTAGTGGCTTTGAACTAGCTGTCAGTAATTGCGAGTACTCTCAGATCTGTACTTAATGTCATTTTGTTGTTTGGATGTACAGGTGCCCGGCCACGTCCACCTGTATTTGTATTATTTGTATTTGTATCCATCTAATGAGTTAAGCCTCTTTCAACTGATTTTTATAGTTAGTTCTTATGTTGTACTGTTACACCACTATCCCAGGTTAGGGGGAGGGTTGGGATCCCGCTAACATGTTTAACCCCGCCACATTCTGTATGTATATGTGCCTGTCCCAAGTCAGGAGTTTGTAATTCAGTGGTTGTCGTTTGTTTATGTGTTACATATTTGTTTTTGTTGATTTTTTGTACATAAATTAGGCCGTTAGTTTTCTCGTTTGAATTGTTCTACATTGTCATTTCGGGGCCTTTTATAGCTGACTGTGCGGTATGGGCTTTGCTCATTGTTGAAGGCCGTACGGTGACCTATAGTTGTTAATTTCTGTGTCATTTGGTCTCTTGTGGAGAGTTGTCTCATTGGCAATCATACCACATCTTCTTTTTTATATATACATTATGTAATGAGGGAATAGGGGATGAGTTTTATATATTGTTTATCTGCAAAAATGCTGATGTTTCTGCTCTTAGATCAAAGTTTATACCAAATTATTATGGAATGAATCCAAGGAAGAACAAATTTACTTGTTTGCTGTCTATATGTAACGTACAAGTTCAAAAGAAATTATCAATTTTCGTAAAGAAAATTATGAAATACTTAAACTAATTATATCAATTGTCTTTTATAATATACTATATGTAATTGTGTTTCGTCTGTCCTGTCTTGCTATGTATTATCTTATGTTTGTAATTATATTGTCCTCTTGTACACCTGTATGTGTCTGAGGTTATGAATAAAATCTTGAATCTTGTAAGAGAATGATAATCCCTTACTTCATGATAAGTACTCGATAACGCTCGTACTAAATCATGAAGAACGGGATTATCATTCTCTTATACATACAAGGGATGTAAATATCTCTTAAAATACACCTGTGACGTAATTCTTTTGCTCAAACATTATTTTTCAGGAATGGGGAGTTATTTTCTATTATTCACCTTCATTTATCCGGATGTTTTGCTATTTGGATATTTCCATGTGCACTTTTTTAAAAATTGTTTACCGATGGAAATAATGTACTGCGATATTGAATGAACATGAAAACTTTCTTAACTGTGATACTGTTTTTTTTAGGTGGGATCGTTGAACACCAAGTTTCTCAACAAACAGCTTTTATTTGCGAGTCGTAATTCCATTGTAAAAAATATTTAATCGTATTCTTTATTATCGGATTTTGTGGGAAAATCTTTTTTGTATGTTGTTCAAACAAACCTTCTCTGTTGTCATGACTCATTAGAAAGGTATTTCACTTGACCCATACATGTAATTTTTTGGTTCTGAAATTTAAATGTTATCATATCAAAATGTAGCCTAGATATATAAAAAAATAATAATAAAATCTGAAGCGATATGATGTATCAATTGTTTTGCCTTCATACGTTTTCGAGACATAACAGTCAACCCAAACACGCCAGGACGAAAAAGGTGTACCCGACTTTCTCTTTTTGATCAGATTATTGTCACAATCTTTCATCTCTCTGTGGATTTTTTTCGGCGGAATTTATGCATATGCATATTAAAGATCTAAATGTATTTGCACCTATCATAATCTACTGTGTCTTGAAAATTTGTCTTTAGTTTAAAAGTTTACAAATATCTCGAAACTGCATACCATAATTCGAGTTCAAACACGTATATTAAAAAAAAAGTCATATGAAACGAGTGACTGGTGAAAAATAATGTAAACCCAATTCTTGAACCAATGCATGTATATATCACAAACTCAGTCTTCTGTGCACGATTTTATCATTTTTACGCATCCATATCGTATAATTGTCAAACAAATATTTCACTCGGTCTGTTTTTATGTGAAAATATGGCAGCTAATTAATTGTCGTGTTTTGAATCCGAAGTTTACCGATTGTCACAGTAAACAATCAACAAAGAAGCATGGATATTTAGGTAAGCACGTGTATTACATGTATAGTAATAAGATATAGTTTATTTCGATGACAGAGCGATGCGTATTGCGATCACCGGATTTTTACGAGAAAGGTCACACTGAGGTCACTGCATACGGAAAACATGTCGGCGAATTATTGTCTGGGAAGCAAGCAATTAAAAAAAGCAATTTTCTTCTAAATTTGGACAAATTAAAGAATTTTCTTGAAAAAAAAGTATATGTACATAAGTTTTATAATAAAAACTAGCCAATTAGTTATAAACAACATATGCATGAATTTTTTTGAATTTAAAATTTCATATGACTTTAAATGCAAAATATCATGAATTATGCATCTATAATAAAACAGATGTTAACAATTCAAATACATGTATACAAACTATGCCATTTTCAACTTCTGTAATAAGGAGGTCGATTTTTTTTTTTTTATGGATTTCAACTGCATATCAGCCTGAGTATGAGACGAAGAGAAATATGAACATTAGACTCTTGTGTATGAGGTCGTTTCAATATAGTTTTGCATGTCCATTTATTATTGTGTAAATATTTTGGTTATATCAGTTCTGATCAAATAATGCAGTATTAAAATTTGCCCTTTACTAATGGTAAATTCCTTAAGACTGACATAAATCTGTTTAAGATACAGATCATGTGGTTACACGGCCAAAGCGTATAGACAGATCTGTATTTTAATCAGATTGGACGGACACATACAATGCTTCCATATAGACCAAATATATTAGACCTACTACGATGGAATAACTAATGAGCCAAACAGTTCTTTTTATTATATCTTTAACTTTGTTATTTGAAATATACATCATTGAAAATTTCTCAAAAATGGACTATGTTCTTAGGATTGATGATAGAAATGAATCCCTATTTACGATTCAGAGTTACTTCACACGATCAAGTGGCAGTAATTCGTCATATTTTCAATTTCATACTTGTAAAAGTGCTTAATATGACTGCTTATAGTTTACTATACGTTTGCATGCAATTATTTCTTTTTATGCGATTAAGAGCATTATTAAAACAAGAGGCTCTCAAGAGCCTGAATCGCTCACCTGTATTTTTTTTGCTTAAATCTTTCATCAATGATTTTTTTTGCTTTTCAATATATATTAATGAGTGTCTTAAAAATGTCATTTAAATGTTCTTTGTATCTGTCATATTTTCTTTAAAAGCAAATAAATGCATTTTATAATACTTTTATAAATTTTGACTTGGATGGAGAGTTGTCTCATTGGCACTCATACCACATCTTCTTATATCTATTTTACCCATATGTTCCATTTTAGCCATAGTGGCTACGTTTCTGGACGTACAAGGAAATAAAATATAAAATTTATACTAGATTCATTTGAGAAGATTTTTTAAAGTTAGAAAACATAAACAAAATTATGTAAAATTGTCCTTAAAGGGCAATAACTCCTTAACGGGTCAATTGACAATTTTGGTCATTAAACTTTTTTGTAGATCTTACTTAACTGAACATTTTTGCCGTTTACAGTTTATCTTTATCTTCAATAATATTCAAGATAATTGGTTGTTCGGTTCGTCTGAAAATTTCAGGGCTGATAGATCTTGCCCTTTTGAACATTTTAACGGAGTCCGTGTCAGATTTGCTCTAAATGCTTAAGTTTTTGAGATATAAGCCAATAACTGCATTTGTTCTATTTTAGCCACGGGGGCCATGTTTGTTGATGGATCAAACATTCGGATACAATTTATAAAATAGATTCCTAAAGGAACATTCAGTTAAAGTTTAGAAGTATTAGGCCCAGTAGGTTCAGAGGAGAAGATTTTTAAATGTTAGCAAACATGATGAACAAATTGTGAAAAATTGTCTTTAAAGGGCAATAACTCCTTAAGGGGTCGATTGACAATTTTAATCATTTAAATTTTTTGTAGATCTTACTTTGTTGAACATTATTGCTGTTTACAGTTTATCTCTTTCTATAATGATATTCAAGATAATAACAAAAAACTGCAAAATTTCCTTAAAATTACCAATTTAGTGGCAGCAACCCAACAATGGGTTGTTCGATTCGTCTGAAAATTTCAGGGATGATAGATCTTGACCTATTGAACATTTTTATTCCGTGTCAGATTTGCTCTAAATGCTTCAGTTTTTGAGATATAAGCCAAAAACTGCATTTGATCCCTATGTTCTATTTCTAGCCATGGGGGCCGTGTTTGTTGATGGATCAAAACTTCGGATACAATTTATAAACTAAATACACAAGGGACATTCAGTTAAAGTTTGAAGGTATTTGGCCCAGTAGTTTCAGAGGAGAAGATTTTTGAATTGATTTACGACGACGGACGACGACGACGGACGCCAAGTGATGGCATAAGCTCACATGGGGCCCTTCGGGGCCCCTGTGAGCTAAAAAGGGGGCATTTACACGCATGCGTATTTTGTGAACAATAATTAATTGTTTGAATTGAAAGGTAAGTTATAAATTTATAAACTTAATTGTCGGAAGCTTATTCGGAAAAGCCATTAAATGACGAGTTAAAACTCGTCTGACCTCTAAAATCGTAATACCAAAAAATACCAAACGCCAATGTAAATAAAAAAAGGGAGAAGTCCATAAAACCTCAAAATCAAACGCTGGACTATATCAACCAACGAAACGACTGGAAAACAGACTTGGTACAGACATTTTCTGAAGAAAATGTTGGGTTAAACCTGTTTTTCTAACTAGCTTAACCTCCTACTTGTTTATATAATTCCGTCATACTGGCAAAATAGGGTGAGCAGCTCAAACAGATATAATTGGCAAACGTGACAATAATTGGGATCCAGCAGCCAAAACTGTATAAACATGCATCACAGACATTCAAACACAAATGATTTAAAAAATCAAACAAACATACAAATAAATATGTCAAAAACGTCAAAAACAAAAAATGTTTTTGTAATTGATAGTATCGTAAAACATAATTTTATAAACACAATTTAAAGTGGTAATTATTCATCATATTTATTATTTCATACTTGTGAAAGTGCGTCATAAAGCGCCTGTCAGTGGAAAAAAGGTGAAAAAAATCTATGAGCATGAACTGCATGAATTTGAGCTATAGCATCTCGAGCTGCTTGAGCTTCAGCTGCTTGAGCCTGAGCTTGAAGTTTCTCAGCTTGCAATTTTTTTTCTTTTTCTTCGTGTTCACGTTTCAATTTTTCTTTCATTTGTCGTCTTGTATTTTCTTCTCTCTTTTGCCTGTCTCTTTCTTCTTGTTTTCGTCTGTTTTCTTCCTCTTCTTTCACTTTCTTTTCGGCTTCTATATAATGGGAGTTAGTATAATGAGTTCCTCCGTTTTCCTTAACTGTGCGTTCGACTAAAGCAATCAGATCCTGTACTTGTTGATCTGCAGAGGGTCCGTTGAGAGTATTGTCAAAGGCGATGTATCGGTTATTACATTTTCCAAGGAATGACTTCAGTTCAGTTGACAACGAGCTGATATATCCATTTATACTTTGACATTCTTGTGGATCATCTTTGTTGTCGCGTTTCCAGTCATCAAAATGCGTAAACAGTATGATGACATATTTCATCAACTGATCTCCAAAATGTTTGATGAAAAAGTTAACAGTTTGTATGTCTTCTTGTGTAAACCGAGCTATACGAACACATAAGATAATCGCATGCGGCCCTGGTAGAGTAAGAGATATGCAATTTTTAATTTCGGAAAGTACATTCGCATTATCTGTTCTGGTATCGAATAGTCCTGGTGTGTCAACTAGACTTATTTCTTTTCCAAATCTAATAGTTTTTTCTTTCTGACATCTTAGTGTGAGAGAACCGCTTTGACATCCTGAGACGAACAGTTGTTGGCCTAATATAGTATTTCCAGTTTTGCTTTTTCCATTTCCGGTTTTCCCTATCAGAACCAATCTGAATTTACTGAAATTTGTCATTTTCCTGTTTAAACATAAAATTTTATATATTTATATATTATTTATATATAATTATTTATGCAATGTGGGATCAAATACTCTTCAATAATTCTTATCAGATTAAAAGTTTGTCCGACCAGTTGATTGTTTTTTTGTTTTTTTGTTTTGTTTTTTTTTTTTGGGGGGGGGGGGGTATATGTAGCACGATTTTTTTCTGTTTCTAATTTTGCTATTTATTGTGCGCCACGAATAAATACAAACATACCTAAAATGTAGGATACATACGTTAAAATCATAAGAGAATCTTAGCTCATCACCAAATTTCTAAATTTGCAAATCTTATGTATAATAGGCTAGAAAAAAGTTCGCATCTCACTCCATTCAGCGAAATAATCCATATTTACCACACACATACGTATATTGTTTTGTTTTGTGTTACTTCTGCCATCTTTACTAGGCAAGTGTTACGATTCAGTCCCTTGATCGTGACCCTTTGATAGCGAAGATGTACTTTTACAAGTTAACGACTATATACAACTAGTAGTAGTATTTGTTTTGTCCTGTAGAACTAATATTGTATTAGCAAACAATTCCATAATAATGTCTAATTAAAAATATTTATACGGTTAAAGATGCACATTATAGCTAGCTTGAAGGAATGAATATTTAAAAACGTAGCGAAAATCTATATATTTTTTTTATAATTCTTAACATATAGTAACTTACCTCAAATGTATTTTAACACTACCGTGAACGTGTTTGAATGTCCAAGTTGGTATTTATAGTCTGGATATAAACTACTGTTATGACGCTCTGTGGGACTTTTACATTCCAATAATATCTATTTTAAATGTAATGCAAATGTCTATTTATAGAATATAGAAAACTATTTGGTATGATTCTGTAATATTATTATGAAACCAAAATGCTAGCGATTCGTAACAGATATATGGTTGTGCACTGGTCCATTGTCTAAAACGAGATAAAATTTATGACTTTTCTTCATCATATTTCAATATTTTCATGTGTCGAAAGTTTTTTTTAAAGGTAAAAAGATAAGGGAGCTACCATTTGATTTTTATGGGGGGGGGGGGGGGGGGGGGGGGGGCTAGGATTAAAAATTTTGTCCTGCATTTTTTTTTAGTTGTGATCTCTGTCCTGCCTTTTTATTTTTCACTCTATTCGGTCCTGCCTTTTTTTTTATTAGTTTATCCTGCCTTTTTTTTACATAGATTGTCATCCTGTCTTTTTATTTTTGCAAAGTTGCTCATCCTGCCTTTTTTTTAACTCAAAACTCCTGTCCTGCCCTTTTTTTCAAATTTCATCCTAGCCCCCCATAAAAATCAAATGGTTGCTCCCTAAGCAATTACTTGGCATGCATGGTGGTCGTTTCATCCTTTTCCCTTAACAGCCAATTTACTGATACATTTTGTACATTATATATTGGTACGATATAATTTACTAGTATATAGATATCAACACCATGGTACAAGTTGATTTTTGATAGATTTTAATAGATTATTTCTATAAAATCATATAAAACTTCAGATTTCAAAAAAGTTTAACATGTTTTATATACTTTAATGGCTAAATTTTACTATAAAACAAGTGTACGTGAACTTTCTTGTAAAAGAAAATCCTTTATATTATCAAAATCTTCAGAAATGTACTGCTATTGAATTATTGTCTCCCCGTACTCTTATTTGTCGATATTTTCCTGTATTCAGTGACCTTAACTACGAGACCTCTCGTTAGAACTACGGCCTTCGCATGTAGCGTAAGTTCGAGAGAAAACCGTGATGTAAGAATGTGCTCTGGAAGGTCAATAGTAATAACTGATTCTTTAAAACAAACAATTTAAAGGCACCTAACAATTTAACAAAATGTAGCTAAATATTTAAATTAACAAATGGGAATGCATGGAAAACGTGAAATCTATCATTGGTCTATCAATTCACTTATTTTTCACGTGCTCTTTGTTGATTATCAATGTCACGATCTAATAAACTTCGGCAACAAACTCTAAAGTTAATAAGCTTGCGATCAACAATCACAGAACTAATTATTTGTCGATAGTACGTTATAGATTCGTAATAAATATAAAAAAACGTGCATACAAGACTTAATGAAGTCTATATGCATACATTGGTTCAATAATTCCAATAAAATTATAATAACAAGAAACTCGTTTCATATAAAATTAAGAATGGAAATGGGGAAAGTGTCAATGAGACAACAATCCGACCAAAGGGCAGAAAACAACCGAAGGCTAACCGATATGTATTTAAGTATTTCGCATGAGAAATATAAACACAAGACATTAAAATCAAAAGAATGGCATGTTTTACAATATCTAGTGGTAATCCTACCAAATAATATACATTCAGTGTAACATATATAGTTAAGCATGTATAAAAAAAAAACTATTTTTGCATTAAATATTGACAAGCTGACCTTTCAAAATAAAAAGATAGCAATTGAGAAAAAAAATATAGAATAGGGACACTGTGGCATATAACCTCTGCACGATACAGCACCTCTAAATTATAACACACACTCAATTCGGGTGTCTGTATATGCAATGACAGCGTCTGTCTTTCTTCTGCAAAAGAAACCATACAAATGTTTGAATAAAATGGAAATGAATTTGCACACAAACATCATTTTTTTCCTACAACGTTACCGAAATACTTAATCAGCAAAAAATGAAAACAGCACGCTATTAATTTAATGTGTTCGAAGCGTTTTTCTGGATTTACTTTATCCGGGACGCTTAAAGCCGAACATTTGAAAGCCAAGGATGTATATAAAACCTGAAACAGTTAAAGAGCTATGTGACTAAAAAGGACATGAAAAAATAGCAAAATCAGTCTAAGGTTCACTTTGCCTCAGGAGTTGAAACCTTAATTTCTTTATAGTTTCAAAATTTATTAAAGAACAATTTTAAAAAGGTTTGTTAAAAATAATGTCAGTACCGAAGTCGAAGTACTGACTACTTAGCTGATTATACCTTCGGGGACTGATAGTCCACCGGCAGGTTATCGACCCAGTGCTGTAAAAGATGAAAACAACACGTTATAAATTCATGCGTCCGAAAGATTTTAACAAAATGAAGTCAAATTTTTATAAAGTCCTTCGGGACTATCTGACAAATAGGACTACATTTCTACATAAGGAGATGCCTGTACATAGTCAGGAATATGATAGTTTTTTTCCATTCGTTTGATGTGTTTGAGCTTTTGATTTTTAAACATTTTAATAACTTTAAGCAAATTGTTTTACATTCAGTTCTTACTGTCCACTTTTTCTGTTGAAAATTGTGAAAACGTTTGACACAAAAACTATTTCCGTTTCGTATGAGAGTGCGATTGGCACATTCTGAACGTCAAATAACGCCAAGAAACGTCGATATAATACTTATATGTCTATTATATATACTGATATATTTTATAAACTTAATACGAATACATTTTGATGTTACAACAGAAATATCATAGACAGTTTTTGTGTCAAAAACTTACTAAAATAACCAGTGGAACTGAAATCTATAAAATTTTCGTAACCTCCCCACCCCCTTTTTACTTTACGTTAATTAATGAAAAACGTCAATTTTAACGTTAAAAAAACGTTGTTCCAAAAACAAATTGGTATCACTTACAGACTTCATCAATGCTGAATAAATAATGCCCTCTGATTTTTCAATACATTATAAATTCCTGACCCCCATTATGCAAAATTTGGACCACTTCTCAGACTTACGGCATCATTAATCTGAAAGATTACAGTTTTCTCTTTTTAGTGATATATAATTTAGCCGTGTGTTCGATGGGTGCATTAAACTTGAAATTTTATGTTTCTACCGCTGGTCTATTTGCCATTTGATAAAGAACTTTCCGTTTTGAATTTTCCTTGGAGTTCGGTATGTTTGTTATTTTCCTTTTTGCTATGTAGGACGTTCGTTAACACCCCTAACTAAATCAGTCTTTAAGTTTATGATTCAATTTATTGAGGTTGGTTCAAGTTCTGCTTGACAAATTACAAAGGTGTCATTTATAAAATGGTACTCGAAAAGATATAATCAATTGTTTCGGTTTTATTAGATTGCCACAGGAAGAAAATATTCGAATAACATTTAAACGATATCATTTTATTGCACTATGTGTACTTTTGACAATTAAAGTTTCTTGAATGATGCTTGAGACCAAAAAATTTTAAAACTCCAATTAAATATAGGATGAAAATTATAGCCAAACCAGAACAACGATTCTGAGCTATGCATATCTATGAAGGATGTACATTCCTTCGTTTCAACGATTTGCTGACTTTTTATTCCAGCAATTTTGCAAAATTGCGTTAGCAGTAAGTTTAGCAGCGTTTAAACTAAATAAAATCAATTTAAGGGCATACGATACAGTAGAGATCCCTCGTTGATTTTTTCTTGAAATTTTGGTAGAAGGTCAATTTTAATGTGTACTTTTGAAATGTGCAAAGAAAAATATACCTTCATGACTTACTTTTTGAGATAATTTGGTTCGAAATTTGCATATTTGAAGGAAAAACACTGAAATTGCATAAATAAGGACTTTTAAGGAAAGTAACAATACTTTTGAACGAACAGTCATAATTTAACCGGGTTTTTTGTAAAATGTTCCTTTGAACCACGGCATCAAAATGCTGTAACAAGTTTAAGGTTTAACTTAATTTTTGTTTTTTTAAATTATATTACTATTAGTGAAATAAAGAAATTGACAATATTTTTGCGTCTATTCAGAAGTGCAGAAAAAATTTGATCGTTGATTTTTTCTTAAAATTTTGGCGGAGCGTCCCTGAAACATTCCTTGATTGATTGCAAAAGAAAAAAATGGGGGTCCATGTGCTTGTTTTCTCAATAAAAGCAATAAACCATGATTTTTAATGGCAAACGGAACGTTTGCCAATAAGGCGCTAAATTACGTTGAAATAAGTTTTAATCGCAACAACGTCGTGAAATCTTTCCCGTCGTTCACGACTACGCTGTCAAGTTCAGTGGTATAGCCAATGTTTTTTTTTTCGAAATCAATGATATTTATCATCAATATTTATAAAGATAGTTACTCGTAAAGTAGCATAAACTATTTGCCAAACCTTTATGAATTGTTACGAAACTTGGATAGAAAAAGTATTTTAGTAAATTACTTTTAGAAAAGAAATGACCGGAAACAAACAAAAAATAAATCTAATAAAAAAAAGAAATTTGCATCTCTGTCCGAAATTAGTCTTACATTTCATGTAGACAACACAGCTTGAGCATACATATAATTATTCAAAAGGCCCCGACATGACAAACAGTTATAAATTACAAAAAAAAAAGTAAATGGGATAATATAAAAATAAGGACATTTGGTATGAGACAACTTTATCAATCATAGTTCAAATGACGAAGATAAACACAATTAAAGGTCACCGTACGGCCTTCGACACACAAAAAAGCCACATTTATTTCGTATTTGTCTCATCTCAATATATATAGTCCATTGCGGTGTAGTATAATATTTCATAGGAAGTACAGCAGTCGATATTAGAGCATACCATTGCATGATTCTGTATCAATAGATAGGTTACCTTAGCTTGTATTCAGACATGGTATATTTTTTATTACAGTACATATTTGTCTGTATTATACCTGCAATCTAGGATTGGGTGCCACACCATTGTTTGTCCTTCCATCCGGTGGTCCAACAAATTTTTGTTTCTTATCTGATAAACTACCTTACGGAAAGACTTCGTATTTGGTCATTGGTCAGTAGCTTAACGACAGTGAGTTGCAACTTGTAAACACTTTTCTTGTCTGTCAGATACCTAATTCCGGTGTGCCGATACTTCGATTGTTTTCTCTCAATATGTACATAGGGGATAAGTTTAGCGCATGAACGGGTACGTTTTTGTTTTGGTCTGTAATACGTACGGGGCTCATAACTGTGTTTACTTAACTGAGAGTTATTCTTCATACACATATAA